CCCGAAATGTTCTGACCTTTGAATATATTACGTCCCGAAGCCTTCAGTTTATACGTGGACTTGATTTTAGCGGACAATTGACTCGCTTTGTGGTCATTGAAATGAAATGCAAAATATATGCGTTAAAAACGACTCATTTTTAATGCAACGGAAAGTGTGAGTCAATACCGGCAACCATTGAATCTCTTTTCATTGAATTGACGGACAATTTTTGCTGAAGAACTTTATTGGAGGCATCGGTTGGGGCCGCGCCTGAAGACAGTATTAACTCTTCGAGAGTCTCCACCCGTTCTTTGACTTCGGATTTAAATATTCAAATGAAAATAAAATAAAAAATTTAAGTAAAAAAATAAGACACAAAAAGTTAATTAATAAAAGTGTCTCAAAAAGTGATTATAAAAAACCGGTTATCAAGAGATTAAAAGCAGAAGTAAAATAAAATATAAGTATTTCTCTATCAAAGTCTTAATAAAAGTACTTCAAAAGCATTAAAAAGTGAAAATAAATGTAAAACTAAAATACAAAAAATGAAATAAAAAGCAAAAAATTGCATAAAAAATTAGTGTTGAAATATCAGAGAAATAAAGCAGAAATCAATAATAAAAATTAAAAAATTGCATAAAATTTAACGATTAATAAAAACTAATGAAAAATAAGCGAAACGAGAGATGAGATAATAAAAAGCAAAAAAACGGCAAAAGTCTGCAAATGTATGAAATGTGTGAATACGGGCCACGTTTTCGGTGATAAGTCCGTCGAACTCCTTCTCGATTTGGCCGAACAGATGGTGTAATCGGTGTCTGAAAGGCATCACAATATCATTAATAAATGGATAATAATATTGACGTTAATATGAATTGCAAACACAACACAAGTCGACAGACAAATGACTATTCAATAAACAGTAGACAAAAGTGAAGCAAAAAACAGTAGATCTAAAGTAAACCGAAAAAAACAATAATAAAAAACTTAATAATAATTGTCTTGAAATCGATTCTCAAACACAAGACTATTAAATACAAGACACGAGAAAAACATTACATATTATTATCAAAACACAGACTGAAAGTGAAAACTAATGCCTAAACTAAACGCTGTTTAAAAAAGTCAATACAAAAGTCAAAACATGATTGAAAAGCAAAAATTTAGCGATAAATCAAGTGTTCATGAAATGGGAAAAAGAGGACAATTAATGTATAATTAATGAATGCATTGAAAGCAATACATGAATGCATTGCACATCCAATAGAAAGGCAGATATACTTCATATTGGATTCAGTGATGACATCGCCATCCGATGACAGTTTGATCCGATGCTTGGATGTGGCCATCGATGCCAAACAGACAGACAATACAACCACACAATCAAACACTGATTACAATCAGTGATAAACACAACAATTGGTTCGCAAAATGTGTTAATAAACGCTATAATAATAATCGCATCGCTTTTCTACACATGTATTAACCGATTGTTTTGTTTTGCATTTGTTTTTCTCTCACATAATAATCGTTTGATTAGAAAAACTCGACTTTATTTTGACATTTGGTCTCAAATCAGACAACAAACCGATCACTCAATACAACTCCACTACAAACTGAATGTGTGTTTTGTTTTCTGCATTCACTTCACCTCTCGATTCGTAAAAAGCACTAAATTATTGTGTAATTACTTTCGGCGACATTCATATACAACGTGACGGTAAATGGTGTGTGGGATGGGCGGGGGGTAATCGTTGCGCTGCTGGTAATTGGGGGCAAATATGTGTCCAAATGTAGAGGTAGTGCAGTCGATAGGGTTCTCTAATAGCAGTGGCAATGAAAAGTGAAATTACATTTTGTAACGTTTTATGCGAATGTTTGGCCATATATTGATTGCCATTGAAATGCTATGACATCGACAGCCAATAGACGGCGCTATCGATCAATGTTTACAACAATTCATGTGTTGTTTACGGTTTGTCTGCATTTAATGTTTGTTTAAATCATGTTTTCGTCGATTAAATGACAACACAGACAATGATCTGTTGGTCCGCGAAGACAGCGATCAGGAAGTGGCTGTCCATCGGTTCCAGACATGAGTTGACTCGCGATTGTTTCATCACAAGAAGTGAGTCACGACTTATGATGTAATGTTTGTCACGTTTTTTGGTAATCAGCTTTTGTTTTGTGTCTTAAGGACTGTTATCGTCGTTGAGTACGAGTGTGACCACCGATGACGGGCCGATAGTAGACGTCCAGAAGTATCGACAACAGCACGACATCCAGTGTTTCGGCGATCGCATACCGGATCCGATCCAGTCGTTTGACTCTTATAAATGGCCGCCAAAGTTGGCCCAAAAGATCAAACA